ATGATTAGAAATTCGAAAATATACGAAATACGATAAAACAAAAAGAAAGATCACTAAATTCAAAAAGTTTCAAAGTTCAGTAGTATACGAGTTATATAGAGCATTAAATACGAGCATGAAATCAACACACATTAAATAGTTCGGCATATTGTCATATAATAGTTCGATTCAGAAAACGAGTATAACAGTTCACATATCGTTCATGTCCTGAATGCGTAGTCGGGCTATAGTCGCGGCTGTTCTGGGTGGACAGCGAGTAACAGTTTCATTAATTCCGGGTAGAACAGACTTCACAGCAAGAGATTTTTCGATAGATAGCGTGGGCGCGTTGTTCCCACATGCTTCTAAGGGATATAGTTTCGTAATCGGTCTGTTTGTAAATCCACTGGTAGTCTTGAGTTCAGCAGAACGTGCAAGTCCATCATTTCCGACATTTAATCTTTGAACGGTGGCTAAACGCCAATTTACACGACGAGCGATATCACTATGCATTAACACAACATCACCGACCTTAATTGTATTGTCCGTTGCACCAACCGTATTGTTGTGTCGTTCTCGCAAAGACGTGAGGTATTCGCTAGTCCAACGTTTCCAAAATTGTTCTAGTAATTTACATATATGAGCGTGGCGTTTCTCGAGATCTAGTCGGTTTCCAAATGTCGGGTCAGATAATTCATCGTCGTCCACGACGAAATGCGGAAGTGGCGTAACCAAGCGACCAATTAATAAATGTGACGGAGTGAGCGGGGTTGCGTCGTCAATGTCCGTAGACACATACGTCAGGGGACGGTCGTTTAGAGTAGATTCGATTTCAGTTATGATAGTATTGAGTTCGTCGTATGTTACGAATGAACGACCCAAGACTTTCTTTATAGCAGTTTTGGCGAGGCCAATCAAACGCTCCCAAAAACCCTCGAACCACGGTGCTCGTTTGGGTATGAATGACCATTGCACGCGTCTGTTCGTAAGATAGGTTTGAATTTCAGGGGAATCCAATAATCGTTTAATTTCATTAGCAGCAGACAGATATGTAGACGCGTTATCTGATATCATTTTATTGGGGAGCGATCTTCACGGTGCTGTCATGAATTTGTTTTTGCGTATCTGTTAACCGACTTAATTAGTTGATTATTAGCGAATTGCTGTGTTATGTCTGTCATCGTTCAGGCCTATTTGAAATTTTGGACGGAACTTGGCTCAGTGATTTCAAACTAATTACGAGATAATCGTCGCCATTCTGACAGTTTATATTCATAGGTATTAATGTAGTGAATGATTAATCAAAAGATATGACGTATTCAGTACTTAGTGTGATTGGCTTTATGATTGAAGGTTACGCCCTAGAGTCTTTTTACTGTTTTGTAATTGGTTAGAGTTTTGAAAATGAATAAAGAGAGTTTGAGTTGGTCTTGGGGAGCACAGCACGATAGACGCAGTAGAGAGAGTCAGTCGAGAGTCCAGTCCAGGGGCGAGCCTTGAGGCAGTCCAGTCTTGGGCGAGTCTTGGTTCAGCCTTGTGAGAGTCTTGGGGACTTTTCCCCAGGGCGCTGTGTCTTATAGAGTGCTCCAAAAGATCGACTAAGACGAGAGTTGAAACGTATTTCGTTGTGTGTGCCTTATTTGACTGTAAAGTTAAAGTGACTTTCCCGATCCCGTACCTCAAGGGGACGCGATAGAGAGACAAGACGAGACGAGATTCCCCCCTGACAAGTGTGGAGAACCCCGTGGAGAAGAATTACCCCCTGATACGTGGTGTGAGAACCCTGGGCATTGCGTCTTACGCACATTGACATCCTGTGAAGAAAAGTGAAATGGCGAAGATGTGTCTTGTGAACCGAACTCACAGCTCCATGGCAGAGACGACTCAGAAACCGCGCTTGACGACTAACGGCTTTACCAGTATGGCCACCGATGAATGACGCTGAAGAGATGAAGATTTCAGAACCCCTTACGAAGGACGAGTATCGTATAGGACTGTATAATTAAGAATTGAGCGACATTAAAGACAAGAAGATGAAAGAACGACCCGGACTAACGCGACGACAAGAGAAGAGAAGCTTATAGACTTTGACTTTAGCTATCTGTGTATTGCTTAGAGAACCGCTCGCTGGACACTGTAACTGACACTGTGTAACTCAGGACGTTGAACTCTTTTCCACAATCCCAACACTATTGCTTAGTAATGTAATGTATTGCTTGCTTTTTCTATCGTTTTTAGCGTTTTTTTTTGTGATGTTGAATTGTATGTATGTAGGCGCCCAGATCTTTGTTTTGAAATGATATTTGGTGACGTGCGAGGTCCTTTATAACGATTTAAGCGCGCCTCAGTGGACAAGTATTTGCAACACAGTGATTTGGAGTTTTGTGAAGTTTTATGGA